TGCCCACCAGCCCGGCTGCACTTGCTGCAGGCTTCCATCCGGGGGTCCATCGGGGGGCTGTCAGGATCCAGACGTCCCTGAGGGAGAGCGTCTACCCCATGAAGCCCTTGGAGCCTCCCCGGTCCTCCCCACCAGGGGCTCGTGCCCCATTCCTCCCTCACGCCCTTCCACTGACCCCTCCCTAGCCCCCCTTCCTGATGTCAAATAAAAGACACGTATGTTCAAAAATAGAAACTGGGTTTATTGAACAAAACCGAGGGGGGAAGGATGGACCTCTGGGGAGACTGGGAAAAGGAGGTGGGAGAGGGGAAGAGAGAGGGTGGAAGAAGAGAGGGGGAACCATGGCGCCCGCATGGGCATTTGTCTGTGCCCGCCAAGTGCTCAGGGCTGGCCTGGCCCCGGGCACGTGGCGCACGGTGAGCGCCGGCCCCGGGGGCGCCGCGGATTGGCCACCTGCACTCTGGGCACGCGGCGCGAGACAATTTATTGTTGCTATATTTCAATTAAATTCTTCAAACAGCTGTAAAATGCTTGTTAAAGGTCATGAAGCCTTCACACTTCATCCCTTTCCTCATGAATTGCAATCGCTTTCACATTCATTTCAATGAAAGCTTTGTTTAGTCTTCATTAAGTGCAGTGCCCTGCGCTCACGGCAGGACCAAGCACTGTATCATCCCTGACAGGTGTCTATCCAACCTTCTTTTAAATATCTCCAGTGCTGGAGATTCCACAACCTCCCTGGGCAATTTATTCCAGTGTTTGACCACCCTGACAGGTAGGAACTTTTTCCTAATGTCCAACCTAAACCTCCCTTGCTGCAGTTTAAGCCCATTGAGTATTTCTGGAATACCAGCCCTGTTCCTGCCAACTTCTGTGAGCAGGGCCTGGCTCTCGCTTACAGCTTCACTCTGCTTTCTATGAGCAAAGTCTTGACCATGGCTGTGTAAGCCTCACACCAGGCTTGTCATGCATGGGCTTGTGTTTCAGCCCCTCTTCTTGCTACATTCCCCCACATTGTTTTTTTCTGATGAGGATGTTTACCCATTGTCCCAGGAAAGCACAATGCATGGCCTGAAGGCAACCCAGAGAGCTAAACTCTGTGGTCATCTGACTTTGCTGTTCACACACTCATGCCCCATCTATCCCTCGGTGTATGAATTCCCTTGTACAAGTGATGGATCGATTTTATTTGCCCGGACTATGCAGCACTTTAAAGACTAACAAGATGGTTTATTAGGTGATGAGCTTTCGTGGGCCAGACCCACTTCCTCAGATCCTTTGATCTGAGGAAGTGGGTCTGGCCCACGAAAGCTCATCACCTAATAAACCATCTTGTTGGTCTTAGCGTGCTACATAGTCCTGTTTTTTGTTTCAGCTACACCAGACTAACACGGCTACATTTCTATTAAATAAACAACTAACAAAATCATCCAAAGTGCAGGATTTGGTGGTGATGGGGGACTTCAGCTATCCAGACATCCGCTGAGAAACTAACACATCGGGGCACAGACTATCCAATAAGTTCTTGGACTGCTTTGGAGATTTTTTTTTTCATTTGAGAAGGTTGAAAAAAGCTACTGTGGAAAGCAGTTCTAGATTTGATTTTCACCAATAGGGAGGAACTGGTTGAGAATTTGAAAGTGGAAGGCAGCTTGGGTGAAAGTGATCGTGAAATCAGAGAGTTCATGATACTAAGGAATGGGAGAAGGGAGAACACCAAAATAGAGACAATGTATTTCAGGAACATAGATTTTGGTAAGCTCACAGATAGGTTAGATATTTGGTAGGTAAGGACTAGGTTGGATATTTGGTAGGTAAGGTCCCATGGGAAGCAAGACTAAGGCAAAAACAACGGAAGATATTTGGCAATTTTTCAAAGGGACATTATTAAGGACCCAAAAGCAAACGATTCTACTGTGTAGGAAAGATAAAAAGTATGGGAAAAGATCACCTTGGCTTAACCAGGAGATCTTGCAAGATCTAAAAATGAAAACAGAGTTCTATAAAAACTAGAAACTAGTGAGGAGGGAGAAACAATAACCGGAAACTTGGTAATGGCAGAGTTGCTTAATGACTTCTTTGTTTCGGTCTTTACCAAGATGTCTGGCAATGAAGGAATGCCTAATTTAGTGAATGCTAGTGGGAAGGGGGTAGGTTTAGAAGATAAAATAAAATACTTAGAAAAGTTAGATGTCTTCAAGTCAGTAGACCCTGATGAAATGCATCCTAGAATACTCAAGGAGCTGATAGAGGAGGTATCTGAGCCTTTAGCTATCGTCTGCAAATATCTGGAAGAAAATAAGGCAATAGGTAACTGCCAGCATGGATTTGTAAAGAACAAATCATGTCAAGCCAATCTGATAGCTTTCTTTGAAAGAATAACAAGTGTTGTGAATAAGGGAGAAGTAGTGGACGTGGTAAACGTAGACTTTACTAAGACATTTGACATAGTCTCACAGGACTTTCTTATCAATAAACAAGGGGTATACAACCTAGATGGGGTTACTATAAGGTGGGTGTATAACTAGTTGGATAAAAATTCTCAGAGAGTAGTTATTCATGGTTCACAATCATGCTGGAAGGGCATAACAAGTGGGGTTCTGCAGGGGTCTGTTTTGGGACTGATTCTGTTCAGTACCTTCATAAATGCTTTAGATATTGGGATCGAGAGTACACTTATGAAGTCTGCAGATGATACCAAGCTGGGAGGGGTTGCAAGTGACTTGCAGGATATGGTCATGATTCAAAAAGATCTGGACATACTGGAGAAACGGTCTGAGATAAATAGGATAAAGCTTTATAATGACTAATACAAAGTATCCCACTTAGGAAGGAACAATCTGTTTCACACATAGGCTGTGTCTACACTGCACCCCTTTTCCGGAAAAGGGATGCAGATGAGACAAGTCGGAATTGCAAATGCAGCGGAGATTTAAATTTTCTCCGCTCCATTAGCATGAACATGGCTGCCGCTTTTTTCTGGCTCAGGGCTTTGCTGGAAAAATTCGCCAGTCTAGACAGGGATCTTTCAGAAAATAAAGCCTCTTCCGAAAGGTCCCTTATTCCTGATTTTAACAAAAGCAAACATGATCTGGGCTGCATTAACAGGAGTGTTGTGAGCAAGACACAAGAAGTCATTCTTCCGCTCTACTCTGTGCTCATTAGGCCTCAGTTGGAGTATTGTGTCCAGTTCTAAGCACCACATTTAAAGAACGTCATGGGAGAAATTGGAGAGGGTCCAGACAAGAGCAACAAGAATGATGAAAGGTCTAGGGAACATGTGCTATGAGGGAAGACTAAAAGAATTGGGCTTGTTTAGTTTGGAAAACAGAAGACTGAGAGGGGACATGACAGCACTTTTCAAGTATCTAAAAGGGTGTCCCAAGGGGGAGGGAGACAAATTGTTCTCCTTGGCTTCTGAGGACAGGACAAGAAGCAATTGGCTTAAACTGCAGCAAGGGAGGCTTAGGTTGGACATTAGCAAAAACTTCCTAACTTTCCATTTGGTTAAACACTGGAATAAATATCCTAGAGAGGTTGTAGAATCTCCCTCAGTGGAGATCTTTAAGAGCAGGTTGGATAGACTTCTATCAGGGATAGTCTACATGGTGCTTGGTCCTGCTGTGAGGGCGGGGGACTGAACCTCAAGGTCCCTTCCAGTTTTAGTGTTATATGATTTTACAATATGGCAACGTCTGCATTGGCCCCCTATTACGGAATAGGGATGCAAATGTAGCACTTGGGAAGAGGCAAATGCGCGGGGGATTTAAACATCCCCCGCGGCATTTGCATTTTCATGGCCGCCGCTTTTTTCCGGCTTGGAGATAAGCCGGAGAAAAGCGTCCAGACTGGCGCGATCCTCCGGAATAAAGCCCTATTGCAAGTAGGAATAAGAGATCCTCCGGAATAGGGCTTTATTCCGGAGGATTGCGCCAGTCTGGACGCTTTTCTCCGGCTTATCTCCAAGCCGGAAAAAAGCGGCGGCCATGAAAATGCAAATGCCGCGGGGGATGTTTAAATCCCCCGCGCATTTGCTTCTTCCCAAGTGCTACATTTGCATCCCTATTCCGTAATAGGGGCCAATGTAGACGTAGCCTGTGTGACAATGTGTCCGTTCACACTCCAGACCTCTGTCCAAATGCAACCATTTTCAGAAAAGCTTTTCTCAGGGACTGATTGACCTCCTTGTTTCTCAGGCAGTAGATGACCGGGTTGATCAAGGGTATCAGGACTACATACAACACAAACAATATTTTGTACAGGACCGGGGGAGGGTTGATCACTGGAACCACATAGGTTGTAACTACACATATGTTGTACACTGCAACCACAGTGAGGTGGGAGGAGCAGGTGGAAAAGGCCTTTTGCCTGCCGGTGCTGGACGGGATCCTCAGGATGGAGACGATGATACACACATAGGACATCAGGGTCAGCAGAAGGATTGCAAGTGTCAATACAATCGACAAAAAGTTTGTCAGAATTGTCAGTCTCTGGGCGGAACCACAGAACGGATTTGTCATGGGAGCAAAATCACAAAAGAAATGGTCAAATGCTTTGGGACCACAATATGTTAATTGTAACATGAAAATATACGCCATGATGAATATCAGAAAGCTGCTTATCCAGGCCCAGCCCACCATGTGGCAACAGACCTGGCCGGTCATCAGAGCAGGGTAACGGAGGGGGTGGCAGATCGCTAGGTACCGATCGTAACACATGGCCGTGAGCAGCAGAGATTCTGCATTGGAGAGGATAATATAGAAATAGAATTGCACAAAGCAATTGTGAAGAGAAATGGTTCTGTCGCCGGTCGCCAGACTGCCAATCAGCCTGGGCAGGGTGGTGGAGATGTAGCAGATCTCTACAGCGGACAAGTTGGCCACGAAGTAGTACATGGGGGTGTGAAGGTGCGGATCAGCCACCACCAGCACAACGATGAGGAGATTCCCAGCTGTAGCCACAATATAGATCGCTAGAAACAGCAGGAAGAGGAGGGGCTGCAGTTCAGGGCGGTTCCCGAATCCTAAGAGGATCAGTTCCACGACGGGTGTTTGATTCCTGCCTTCTGCCTTCTCCATAATTTGTATCTAGAAACAGAAAGACATTCAATATTCATGGGGCACAGTCAGACAAGTTCCTCATGGCCAGAAACTTGGGATTGGCAACCACATACTGCTGCATCTCTCCCCTGGAAAAGTTATGTTGTCGATAATCAGAAGACGACTTATTTCACTAAGAGGTCGAGCTTCCAGTATGAGTCAACCAAGAGCATGGAACCTTAGTGAGTTTCCAGAAATGTCCCATGTAGCAGCCTTGCACCCTCTTGAAATCGAAATAAAGTCGTGGCTGGGATTTAGAAATATTTTCGTGTCAGTGTCATTTCAGCCAATGATTAAGACATAACAAAAGTTAGCGGTTTGGAAATGGATGCTATTTAAAGTTTAAACATGGGTATGGCTATTCTGCAGCTGGGAGATGTCATTCCCAGCTGGGGTAACATACAATAACTTTAATCTAGCTACTAGGGTAAAATTAGCTGTGAGAACACGGCAGTGGAGGCGGTGGTGTGGGACACACACCTGTGTATGTCCTTTGGATCTCAGATGGGATTGGGTGGGAGCAGCTCGTCGGTGCTGCCGATGCTACACGGCTATTTCGAGCACAAGAGCGGAATCCAAGGTTGTGTGTGAAGGTCTAGCAGAGCAGGAGATTACATCGATCTCCCCCATAAGACAAAAACGGAAAGACCAAAGAGGCCACGGTTTGCATGTCCTCTGTCACAGTCAACTGAAATAAAATCAGTTGCACCCTTTGAAAGATGCGGCTGAGAAACAGGCAAAGACAGAGAAAAAGAACCCCACCGCAAACCGATCATGCCACTCGTCTCCGAGAGCGGTAGGTAAATCGCACCAGGTTTACGTGACTTCCCAGGGGCGGAATTGAGATCCAAAGCCAAACCCAGACAAAGACATGGAAGTGAAACTAGAAACTAGAAGGATGAATCATTATTTTATCCAGAAGAGAGAAAGTGCCTAGAGAACACTGAAACATTGGAGACAGATCTGGATACGACATAAAAATTGAGAGAGAAATAGAGTTGGTCTGTTTCTCCAAAGTCGATGAACATTTCATGGACAGATCTGCTTAAATATACTCCCTCCCAGCACTTCCTTGTCTGGTTGCTGTTACTTCCCAAAATGCACAAATATTCCCCGTAATTTTATGCTTTCAAACGGCTGTGGTTACAGTTTTTTGACTGCTCTATGCAAGTCACAGTAGTACTGCGCTCTTGTGCTTAATTTAAGCCATGAGTTCCGAAGTGCCGAACATCTCCTGGGTGGTGTATGTCTGTATCCCTCGGTTCACATCAGCAAAAACATTTCTACCATAGATAGGGCTGTTTTCCGCCTGGCGGCAGACATCCACACGTTCCCTTAGCGTGGGCCCACACAACTAAATTCTCTCCGCACAGAAATTTAAAAAAATAAAGGAAACGTGTCGAGGAACAAGGTGTGTATGTGGGATGGGACAGGAGGAAATGGACAGGTGTATTGTTAAACATAAATGATTCCCCCAGTCTGGGACTTGGCACTGTACAGCCCTGTTGTGGTCAAATCACTGGCCAGTTGGAAAATATTACTGAGTTTGCCCTCTCTCAGTGTGGAGAGGAATAAGCCCCCTTGTGCTAAACAAGCTGAAATTTCCCCCCCAGACACTTTAAAGGCACATTAGATTAAATTACAAATGAGTTTATTAACTAGATTTCAGTGATGCTAAAGGCTGAGAGAGCCAAGCAGCTCACCAGCAAATAAACCAAACCAGACACTAAGCATAACACAGGTTACACTGACTGCGAATGAGCAGTTCCTCACCCTGACAGACGAAACCAGTAGATGAGCAGGCTCTCAAGGCACAGGTGACGTTTGCTTTGCAACTCGGCTTTCTTGGGTCTCCAGACACAGGCTAGAATGTCCGATTGTCTTGGTCAATCAGTTTCCCCGTCTCACTCTGTTTCGCTGATGTTTTCAGGAGTCCTCTTGTGTGAGGAACAAGAACCAACCGATGAGATCACTCCCAGCCTTATGTAGGCTGAGGATGGAGCGGGAACCCTTTGTTTTCAAATTTGATTCCCAGACTAGGTGCGGAAAAATGCAGAAGTCCCAAGATGGAGTCCAGCATCATTTGTTCTTGGAGAGTCACAACAACCATTATTTATTAGCTCTCTGCAGTGTCTCCGGCAGCCTAACCTGGGGGGAGATAAACTTCTCTTCAGGCCTATTGATTCCCCCATGGCTCATTAACATGAACAGGCCCTTCCCAACCCCCTATCTCCAGTGAAAGCATCTCGCCTCGTGGGAGCTACCCAGGTGTAACTACATTGGCAATACAGACACATCGTCAATATTTGTCACTTGAGAAACAACCATGAGCCACGCGTACCTATGGGATCATCACGTTCAGAAAACCATCACTTTCCATGTCACTTTCCATGTCAGTCTGCAGGAAGGGATGTAAGATATGCCGCTCCTTTGTTGTACTGTTCTTCCAGTTGTAGGGCACAGCTGTTAGCTGTCAGGAAATAAACTGCTTGTGTTTGACAGATACCTGTGTAGCATCCTTTGTACTTTGAGAGCCCAGTGTCGGACCTGAGACTTACTCTTGCCGACTACAATAATTGGTACTGGTCATAAGGGGAAAGCACATGGTACCACCAGCTCTTTCAAAAAGACCTTGGTACCCACTCCTCACATAGCATCATAGAATCATAGAGCTGGAAGAGACCTCAGAAGGTCATCAAGTCCAGCCCCCTGCTCGAGGCAGGACCAATCCCAACTAAATCAGCCTGGCCAGGGCTTTGTCAAGCCGAGACTTAAACACCTCTAGGGATGGAGACTCCGCTACTTCCCTAGGTAACCCATCCCAGTGCTTCACCACCCTCCTAGTAAAATAGTTTTTCCTAATATCCAACCTAGACCTCTCCCACCACAACTTGAGACCATTGCTCCTTGTTCTGCCATCTGTCACTACTGAGAACAGCCTCTCTCCATCCTCTATGGAACCCCCCTTCAGGGAGTTGAAGGCTGCTATCAAATCCCCCCTCACTCTTCTCTTCTGCAGACTAAACAGACCCAAGTCCCTCAGCCTCTCCTCATAAGTCATATGCTCCAGCCCCCTAATCATTTTGGT